TCTAATGTTTGTTCACAGGAGAAATTATCGTTAGTGATGGAGGCACCTGAACATGTTATAGTGATGTATTTACCCCCAGGTCCCAGCAGGGCTTAAAATACAGGCAGTGCCCTGGCAGGCTGGTTCAGTTGGTTGACTCATGCACCACAGGGTTTTGTGTTCAATCCCTGGTTGGGGTGGGGAGTGGGGCAGTCAATCTATGTTTCTCATTCTCATCAATGTTCCTTTCTCTTCCTCTCTCTCTCTCTCTCTCTCTCTCTCTCTCTCTCTCTCTCTCTCTCTCTCTCTCTCTCTCTGTTATCAGTGAAGATACCCTTGGGAGAGGATAATAATAATAATAATAATAATAATAACAACAACTAGCATAAAATGTGCTCTGGGGGCCAAATCAGTGCTAATGCCTGTTTTTATAAGGCCCTAAACTCAGGATGGTTCTTACATCTGAACCCTAATTAAATGAAATAGCATTTCTCCCCAAAAGAATTCCATTTTTATTATAGAAGACCCAGATTTTAAAAATTGTCCTCCGTGATTATTAGCATTTTGAATAATGTTAATAAAGCTGTGGAAATGTTGGTCATATAAGTACTCCATTGGCCTGCAAAACCTGAAGTACTTATTGCCTGGCACTTTACAGGAAACTTTTGCTCATCCCTGGGGTCAAACAGGGTGAGCCGGCCTGCTCTTCGCCAAGTGTACAGGGCACTGTGCCAAGCCTCTCCCTTTTATTAGCTTGCTTCATTTTCACAGCCACCCTGAGCAGTACATGCGCTCAGTGTCCCCATTTTACAGATGAGGGAACTACCGGCGAGGTGAAGCTCTTTCCCTGAAGTCACACACAGCTGTGAAGTGTCAGCTGGTCCCAAAACTATGCTAGAGCTTCAGCAAAGAAAACTCGAAAATTCCACCCTGGGCTCCTCAGGTGGATGAAGAATGTGGCAGGTGGGATGTCCCTTTAAGGCACTAGTAATCCAGTACTTAAAAAAATAAGACATGTGCTCAAGCACTTACAGGGAACGCATGGTTATGGTTATGTAAGATGTACGTGGCTAGGCTTCGGTAGTTTAGAGGAATAATAATACTACAAGTAATTAAAATAAGAATGATATTGTTTACAGCATGTTTTATTTAATTTTCACGGCAGCCTGGGAAGGTTTGGTAACTGTGATCACCCAGCTCCCATGTAGAAGAGTTGGGATTTGAACCCATGGACTGAGAACTGCTCCCTTCTCCAGCCCCTGGAGGGAGGGAGGGAGGCGCCCAGGAGGGCAGTGGTGTGATTGAGGTTTTCAGTAATAATACTTGTGGCTTTCCCTGCTCCCAGGCTTACTGCTCCAGATCCTAAGGGGTTTCCTTGAAGAAAGAATCCCCTCCGAGTGTCTGTCTTCTCCCCCGGTTTTCACTTTGGCTCCATTATGTCACCTGGTCTGCCACTTCCCTGGCAACAAAATTAAAGAATCAGACCGAAGTGGTGCCTTCAGTGTCCTGGGCTCCCAGCTCAGCTTCTGCCAGGGTGGCTGCACCTTCAGCCATGGGAGGTGCCCAGCTCCGGCGTGGATTTTGTTTGTAAAAAGGGGCTCCTTTGATCCTGAAGCCACTGCACTAGGGACCTTCCGGGTCTCAGAGCTCTGAGGTCCAAGTGGGTTCCAGTAGTGGAAGGAACAAGAACAAAGAACCTTTCTGTGCCCCTTCGCCAGGTCTGCCTGCCTGCCCACCCGTCTGGCCCACCTGGTAACCAGGAAAGCAGCACCTGCCCTTGTCTGTCAAGGACCGAGAAGCCCTCGCATCGGTAGCAGTGGTCGTGGAAGCAGTCTCCACGTGTCCCTGATGAAGTCACGGGCCTCTATGGAAACAGTTCCCTTTGAAATCTGGCCCCTGATTTATAATAATAATAATAATAATAATATATCGAAACCGGTTTGGCTCAGTGGATAGAGGTTCAGCCTGCGGACTGAAAGGTCCCGGGTTTGATTCCGGTCAAGGGCATGTACCTGGGTTGCTGGCACATCCCCAGTAGGGGGTGTGCAAGAGGTAGCTGATCGATGATTCTTACTCACCGATGTTTCTAACTCTCTATCTCTCTCTCTTCCTCTCTGTAAAAAAATCAATAAAATATATTTTTTGAAATAAAGGAAAAGAAATCTGGCCCCTGAGCTGGCAGCACAGGCCTTTCGGCCCTAGCTTTATGTTAAGGCCCGGCCTCTTCCTGGCATGGGTGCTTCGTGGGGCTCTGCCTCGGCATGGCCCGCAGCGACTTCTGCTCCCTTCCTGTCTGGCCGTGGCATTCTCAACTGCAGCCCGAGCATAGGGTCAGGCCCCTAGGGAAACTAAAGATTTTCTGCTCCTTCCGTCTGTAGCCCTTGATCCTGAGGCAGGCTGTGTGCTGTGCTGGGGAAGCCAAGTTCACCTTCAGCATGAGGGAGGAATACATGAAGGTGGTGACTTTCTGGCCTCCAGAAATGCCAAGCCCTAAGCACCCTCAGTTGCTTACACAGCTCAGGAAGTACAAGCAGAGGCCAGAATATGCCCCGCTCTTAGGCCGACAGTCCCCGCCAAGCGCACTTGCAGGGATCCCCATCATTAGGCGGCGGGCACCGGGTTTAAATGAGAGCCCAGACTTGCCAGAGGGCACAGGGGCAATCCCTTTGTGTCGGCCTTCTGTCGAACAGAAACCGCTTTTGTCGTTTGATTATGGAGCCCTGTAATTTGAGGACTTCTGCCTTGCTGGTTAATATTTAATATTTCCTTCAGAAAAGCGAATTGAAAACCCATGTCAGACACCAGCCAAGGTTTCTGAGCCGCATGGAGAACTGCAGCCCCCTGGCTGCTCCCCAGTGCCCTAGGCTTTAGTTAGGGAACCTCTCGGTGCCTTGTTTCCATGGGTGTGAGATGGTTGTACTCAAAGTATGTATTTTACAGGGTCCTGAAGGGAGAGACTGCAGTGATGGTTCATCAGAACGAAAGCCTGCCCGGTGGTGTGGCTCAGTTAGATGGGCATCATTCTGTGCACCGAAAAGTTGCCGTTTTGATTTCTGGTCAGGGCATGTGCCCGGACTGTGGGCTTAATCCCCAGTAGGGGGCATGCAAGAGGTAGCCCATAAATGTTCTCTTCCTCTCTCTCTCAAAATCAATTAAAAATCTTTCCAGAAGAAGAAGAATGGAAGCCTAGATTCTGAACTGCCTGGTTCTGCATTCCAGCTGTGTAAACCGTTAGTAATAATAGGACTGACTTCACAGGCTATTTTGAGTATTAGATAAATTATTCTTTATAAAGGTCTCAGACCTGTGCCTGGCATATACAGTTAGTGCTGTTTAAGTGTGTTCAACATATAAAAACTCAGACTAAAGCCTGGCACATAGTAAATGTTTTGTTCGACTTATTTCTGCTAAAAGGATATGCAATTTTAATTTTTCTAATGTAATCTATTTCTCTTGGGGGTTTTCTATCATTCCCAATTACCTATGCCTCTTAAAAAAAAAAAAAATATATATATATATATATATATATATATATATATATATATATATGTTTTATTGATTTTTTTATTTTTTTATTATTTTTTTTTACAGAGAGAGTGTGTGAGAGAGAGAGGGATAGAGAGCTAGAAACATCAATGAGAGAGAAACATCAATCAAATGCTTCCCGCACACTCCCTATTGGAGATGTGCCCACAGCCAAGGTACATACCCTTGACTGGAATTGAACCTCGAACCCTTCAGTTCGCAGGCTGACACTCTATCCACTGAGCCAAACTGGTTAGGGCTACCTATGCCTCTTAAGTTTAGGGACACACATTTGCACTATTTGTTCTGTAAGAAAGAAAAGGGAGGAGGCATAAGGCTTGGGACAAATCTTCCTGTAGGCACAGGTGTGTCCGTGAAGTAATCTGGGTCCCTGAAATCCCCCAGGCATGTGCTGGGGTCCAGGGAGGGTGGAGGCCAGTTCAGAGTTAAGGCATTAGCAGGTGCAGTGGCCTAAAAGGGATGAGGAAGGAACCCCAGACTTAAGCTCAGGTCGGGGCTAGACCTTTGGAGGCCCAGGTAGAGACTAGAACTTCCTCTGATTGTCAAAGAAGCTGGATGACCTGGAAGCCTGATTGGGAGAACTACAACCCTGAGCCTTCCCCAAGTTGCACTGTTCCTTCTTGCCTCAGGGCCTTCGCACATGCTGTTCCCAGGCCTAAAATGCCCTTATCCTCTCCCGCTCCCTCCCTTCAACATGCCCCTAGCTCACTCCAACCCCTTTGGCTGAGTCAGACCATGCGAGCCCCAGGGTCCCCCTGCCTCTGCTCTTATCCCAGCTCTGCCACCCAGAAGCCCTGTGACCTTGGGAAGCTACTCGCCCCTTCGGGGCCTGTTTCCTCGTAGAGTGACTGTGAGGGATCGTTGCTGGCAGACACCCAGCTGAAATGCCATTTCTTCTATGTCAGTGAAGACCCTTCCCCTCCCCTTTAATAAAAGAAAGAAGCCTGTTTTCAGGGCCACCACTTTGTAAGTTCGGGGTCGTTCCTAGTTAGGTTTCACTTCCATCTCCCCAGGCCCTGGGTGAAAGCAAAGGGGTGTAACCAACACTGGACCTGCACCTTGACCCACGGTTCCTTCTCCCCCCGGTTCTCTCATGGGTGCCCCAGCGTTGGCTCCTCTGGTTATTGGTCCTGAAGTATTGTATAGGGAAGGGCTCTCCGGTGAAATGAGATTGTGAGGGCTTGGATTCAACAAAGTCAAGTCCCTTGCTCCTCTCAGGGCTGCTCAAAGACTTTACCATTTTCTGGGGAGCATCACTTACCATGGAACCTGTTTTTGTGAGACGCAGTGCAGCCCTCAGAACACGCCCTGGGACCCGCCGCTGTGTTTCCTGTGGTTTCTCCCCCAGGGCTGTGCCTCCTGGGATGTGGGCAGACAAGCTTGTGATGTGGCACCAGCATGCAGGGGTTTGCCTGTGGGCCTGCAGTATGCTACGACTTACCGTTGTCTTTTCTTTTGCCTCTTCCCCCAATCAGAGAAAGAGACCTTTCTGGATCCTTTCATCCTCCGGGACCTCCTGCCTGCATCCCTGGGCAGCTATTACCGGTACACAGGCTCTCTGACCACCCCTCCGTGCAGCGAGATTGTGGAGTGGATCGTCTTCCGGAAGCCTGTCCCCATCTCTTACCACCAGGTAGACACCCAGCCCCCAGAGGGGGCTTCTGTGTTTGTTTGTTTGCTTTGTGTTGTCTTAACTAGCCAGTGTTGCTAGATAGGGTTTGTTTTTTTTAATATTTTGGACCTTCTGATCCTCGTTGATTCATTCTTTCCACCAAATATGTGTTTGAAATTAAGAGTTGTAAAATATAAAACATGGTTTTTCAGCTATAAATTAACTAGGTAGAGAGACTTGCAGGCATGAAATTGGATGGTATTTCGACCTCAAGCAGCTGACAGCGCTCCTCAGTGTTGATGGGTTCTTGTGCCAGGAACTCGTCTATGCCCCTGACATGTGGTAACATACTTCATCCTCATGGACAACAGCCTCATGAGGTAGCTACTGTTGGTACCCCCACTCCACAGAAGAGAGATACAGAAGTGCAGTTACTTGCCCAAGTTCACACACTGATTCCCCAGCCATGGTATCTAATCTCAAAGAACATGCTTAGAATCACTAACCCTACCCAACATTCAGAAAAGGGAGAGATGAAGGAAGAAAAGGAAAACACCCTTGATAGAGTTCTCTGAGTGCCAAGCACGCTACTGAACACATTACATATATTCAATCTAATTGCAGACCAATGTTGAGAGATGGGTTTGACACTTAAGATTGGACCCATAAGGCCATCGAGGTGTGGGAAGACTGGGTAACATGCCCAGGTATTCATGGTTCATGAATGTTGAAGCCAGAAAGCAAGCCTGGCTTTGTCTGATTTCAAAACCCGTGCTGCTAACCTCAACACTGAACTGCTTTTCTCTGAGCGTGGCCTGGACAGTTCTCATAGGAAGCTGAATTTAGGCTGAGATAACTATGGGCAGGAATTGCTGAAATGGACATGGGGCTGGGGCAATGACAGAGGAAGAGGAGCCTCTTGGGGAGTTAGGGTCTTGAAATCACATTGTCAGGAATAAGAGATGAATGGAGAAAGCTCTGAGAGGGATTATCTTAGTCACCAAAGAAAGCAGCATGCACTTTAGGTAGCAGAAGCATCGATTTCTTCTCCATACTTCTAGGAATAATGAGAAGGATTCGTAAGAAAGGCATTTGAGCCTTTAACCAGCAACATCTAAAAGCGGGAGGTTCCTGTCTGGCCGTTCCTAGGAAGGCCTCCCCAGAGCCTGACAGCAGGGTAGGGATGTAGCACAGGGAAGCGCGAGGTTTGGGAATGATGTGATGATATCAGTAAAATAACTCAAGACACCGGCAACGATTTTATGAACCTGATTGGCCTGGAAAAGAGTACAAAGATGTTCCAAGAGCAGAGGATGAAATAGGGAGTAGGGGCAGTTGTTGGATGGTGTGCTGGTCAGGTCTTTTATGGAATAAGAAACAGAAAACCCTTTCAGGGGTAGCTCATTGCAGGAAGTATTTTCAAGAAACAATGGTGGAGGGGATCCTGAAGCCATCCTGACCAGGAATAAAACTAGCAAGTGAGGTGCATGTTTCACTCTCTCAGGGGCCACACAGGCTCTTACATCTCGAAGTTTCTGCTGTGGCTTTGTGATTAAGTACTTTTGCAAAATTCTGATCCCTTCTCCCCCAGGATTTTGTTTGAAAAGGAGGCTCTTTCGCTCCTAAAGCCACTGAAATGGGGTTGTGTTTTTCTGTTTATGTTTTTTCCTTTCCCAATATGGTTTGTGTAGTACCTATTGACCTTTCACTCAAGGGTTAGTTACCAGCTGACAACAGTTTTGATGTATGTCAGACTAGTAGCCCTGCGCACAAATCTGTGCACCAGTAGCTCTCTGCAGGACCCGGCCAGAGGCCCATACACAGCTGGATGCTGGGCAATGACACAGCATTCTGCACCCTGGCCGGGGTGGAATGCTTGCCTCGTCCCCGCTGCGATGAAGCAAGCATTCCGCTTGCACTGCCCACTGTCAGGTGCTGCCCCCCCAGGACTGGGGGACTCTGGCAGGGCTGAGAGGACTGGGCACCACCATCTTGTTGCTATGAGTGCCGCCATCTTTGTGATGGTTAATTGGCATATTATTACCCTTTTATTAGATAGCATAGTATTCAAGAAGATAGGTCCAGTAGACATTGGTCAACCAACGAGTTGGTGGGTCTTAGGTCATGTGCCCGATTTGAATAAATCAGCAGTCACTGCCTGAGACATGAGGGTTGCCCATGCACCGAAAGGTCGCTGATTCGCTTTCCTGGTCAGGGCACATGCTCAGGTTGTGTGTTCCGTCCCAGGTCGGGGTTTGTACTGGAGGCAGCTGATCGATGCTTCTCTCTCTCTCTATCTATCTAAAATAAATAAAAGCATACTAGAGGAAAGAAGGACTAGCAGTTTGATTTCCGAACAGGATCTGCCAGCCTCAAGGAGATAATGAACTATGAAGCAAATTTTCTTCCTAATGATGAAGCCAGCATTGTTTTATCAAAACAAAATTCCAGTCCAGGTGTTTGCATCCTCAGGGTTGGGGGAGGAGCTTTGTGGATTAAGATACATGCTTAGTCTTCAAAGACATAAAGGCTTGGGATAAGGAGGTTAAGAAAGCCGAGCCTGGCCCTGTGAGGGCAGAGGCAGAGCGGGGGTTGCCAGATTGGGAAGCCATCGGACGCACGCTGGGTTTTACTGCGGTCTCATGGTTTAGGCTTGTGTCTTGCCAAGTGTGTGTCAGGTAGAAGCATTTGGACATTTGGTACCTGGGCCTTCTTCTTTGTTAAGACTGTTTTACCCTCAAACTCCCTGCCACCATACACTCAAGGAGAAGACATGGGAGCAGAGTTTTTCTCTCTGACTTTCAATAGATAACTTCTCTGTAGCTATTAATTATCATTTCAAGAAAACAGTGAAGAAGTAAATTAATCATATCGGCTCCCCTGCGTCTTTGCTATAAACCATCTTCAGATGAGACGTGACTTGAACAGGCACAGCGTCGCAGATCCCTGTCTGTCTCCCAGGGGAGGAAACGGCTCGTTTCTCTGTGGCCACGCTGGGCCCCCGCCGGCCCGCTGCATGAGGTCACAGCGTGTCTGCCCTGGGAAGGAAGGCACTTGGGGGCCCAATGGTAGCACGCAGCCCTCCCGGCCCTGCCAACATTCTTTCAGAAGTTAGCACAACATGTTCATTTCGGAAGGGCAGCTGGCCAGTTCGGAGGAGCCAAGCAGACAATTCCATGTCTGCGTCTGTCGGAGAGGGGACGTCCCCAATCCTTCATCCTTCTCGCTGTCTGCTCTCCTCTCTCACCCAGTGCGTGCCTGAAGCAGCAAAACTGAGAGCACGTTCAGCATGAAGTATTGTGGTTGGCGCAGACTGTTGGCTGTGGGTTTCTTTGAAATTTTCCAGAGTAAATAGGAGCAACTACTTTTTTTTTTTTTTTTTTTTTCTCCTTTGTGAGTCTACTTGGACCTTCACACCAGGCTCGGAGCCAGTGACCCTGACTCCGCCTGGTGTGACAACCTAGAACGGAACATGGTGTTGCCGATGGAATGACACGTGGGCTTCGGTGGCCAGCACTCAGGGTAGCTTGTGTGGCTCCATTAAAGGTCTACCGTTAATGCCAGGCAGAAACCGTGCCAGGGCTTAGTCACCCAGACACTGTGGTGACACTCAGTCCTGGTGTCAAAGGTCAGACATTGGGAAGGTGCCAGGTGTGTCCTGACTGGGCAGAGGACGTGTGCAGATGTGCTTTATTCTAGGACAGTGGCTCTCACATGCTGAGACCATCCCAGCCTTCCCTTTCCAAGACTGTCTGCTTCCTGTAGTTCCATATATGACGCCACCTGTCATTTTCCTGAGCACGCATTTTATCTCAGTGCTTTTTGGGGACACTATCAGAAAGGCAGCAGATATAATATCTAAATATGTCCTGTTTGTTTACTTTTGTTGTGTGTTTTTTAAAATATATTTTTATTAATCTCAGGAAAGGAGAGGGAGAGAGAGAGATAGAAACATCAATGATGAGAGAGAATTGAGCAGCTGCCTCCTGTACACCCCACACCAAGGATTGAGCCCACAACCCAGGCATGTTCCCTGACCGGGAATGGAACCATGACCTCCTGGTTCATAAAACAATGCTCAGCCGGGACCAGTTTTGGCTTAGTGGATAGAGTGTCGGCCTGCAGACTGAAAGGTCCCGGGTTCGATTCCGGTCAGGGGCATGTACCTTCATTGCAGGCACATCCCCAGTAGCAGGTGTGCAAGAGGCAGCTGATCGATGATTCTCTCTCATGGATGTTTCTAACTATCCCTCTCTCTTCCTCTCTGTGAAAAATCAATTTTAAAAATATATTTAAAAAAAAAAAAAAAACACAAAAAAAAATGATGCTCAAATGACTGAGGCAAGCCAGTCGGGCAAGTTTGTTTATTTTTGTATGCTTGATGTTTCCCCCCTAAGAATAAGTTGGAGTGGGTAGGGAAGGTTTATTTGCATGACTTTTTTTTTTTTTTTTTTTTAATCAGTGTTGTCTCTTTCATAAACAATGGTAAATGGTGTTCTTTTGAATGCACACCCTTTACCATTTGGAGGCAAACTGCATGGGGTTCCACTCCTGGCGCTAGTCCTCAGACTGTGCCTCGGTTTCCGCCGGTGAAAGGGGAGTGGTAATAACACCCGTGATGGAGTCATCCCACAGCTTCCCTGTGGAGTGTGTGTGGAGCGCTGGGCCCGCCTGGCACCGCAGGAGTTGCTCAGGAGACACCGGGCGGGGCTCGCTGCTGTTCCTACCTGCTCAACAAGGCCCTAGGGCAGCACTGTTGTTATATATAAAACAAAAACCATGTACATCAATCAAAATTTTCTAGTAGCCACCATAAAAATGTAAAGAGAAACAGGTGAAATTCATCTTACTGTATTTTATTTAGCCCAATTTCCCACAGTTATCATTATTATTGCATCACGCGGGGCTAGCCCCGCTCCTGGTGGCATAGTCACGTGTGGCTACCGGCTGTGAGGCTCTAACGTTTATCTCAAGGCTAAAGTCACCAACGAATGGCCTCCTTCAGAACGCTTCTGTCCCAG